CACAAGAAACACAATTTGAGAGACATCAACAGAAGGTAACTGAGTTCTGAGTTGTTGGCACGAACAATAGGTGTGCTGCGATAATAAATGAAGATGACCAGAACAACCAGACAAGTTAATGTACCAAGAATTGAGGTGGTCGTCAGACAGATACCCAGAGGCTCATGGTAGGAGAGGAATTCAGTTCTTTTTGGAACACAGTGGTCACGCTGGGGACTGGACCAGAAATCCTCTGGACAAATAGTACACTCCATGGAGTCTGAAAAAGTCAAAGAAAGTATTAGGATATGGTACCATATCTGTTAACTGTCATCCCAAAAATCTTCACACTTACCAGTAGTGTTACTGATCTTTCCGTCTGAACAAGGAACACAGTCAAAACAACACTTAGGTTCCCCTTTCTTGTGGGCCATACGAGTTCCTGGAGGGCAACTCTCACTGCACACTGACCTCGGGGGCTGTGGGATGACAAAAATATCTGTTTTATCTTACATGTAATAGAGACAGGCTAGGAGAGAACTGTCCAAAATATGAATACTCCCCTGTTTGAATATAAAGTTCCAGAAGATCTTGTTTTCATCAATAGTGAGCTCTTCACCATTTTTAGCTGACCTCTTAACTTCACCCACATTATGAACTTTAGTGCTCCCATCAGGAAGCCACACCCAGTTCACAATCTCATATATGGGCAAAGCATCACCATTCTCATCAAATGACACTTGATCACCAAATGATGTGGTGAAGTTGACTTTTTCCAAGTAATACACAAGCTATTAAAAGACACAGAAAAAATGTTGTTGTTAACTGAAACTTATGAGAATTTGGAGGTAATTTATTTTTAAGTAGTTGGTCAAAAGTATTAAAATGCAAACTAAGGATTAAATGATTCAATTTTGTACTTGCACAACATTATTACTGTTTTTTCTCCCAGTTTCAAAGTAGTAAGGTAAGAAAAAGTAAAAATGTTAATGAAGAGAAACTGCCAACACACCTGCCATGGTTCCAGTCCTTGTAATTGAGCACAGGTGTCTCCACTGAAAGGTCCTCTCCCTGGCTCACACTGCAGCATGTCATCAAGAGCATGTGCCAGAGTATACACAGCCTTATACACGTTATACTCTGGTCTGAGGTCGGAAACATCAAAAACCTCTTCCTCCAAAACAGTCTCAATAACTTCCTGTCCAGTGCACAATTGTCCTCCAGTTTCAAGCCAACCTTCTGGAGGTGGAGCAAATCTACATTTAAAGATGTGTTCCCAGAACTGATTCACCTGGAATATAATAAGGATGTTATGTTATTTTAACATTATATGCACTGTACACTGTGGCTGTTACTGTTAAATTCCTCACCATGTTATATTCAGAAGTGTTCTTCTGTTTTGAGACAGGACGTATTTGCAACAGAAAATTTCTCAGGCCTGAGATTTCTCCTCGAGGGATAGCGATGCCCAGAGTTCCCCCGAGGTATGGCATGAAGTCTGAGGTCTGTAGCTCAGCAATTGAAGTCCAGGCTTCACTGGCCATCCACTGAAGGCCTGTCAAGTTCTGCCTAACAACCTATACAATGAATCACAAATCATTGATGTATATTACTGTTTGCATTTTTGATTATGTGCACAACAAGGCAATTTCTACTATATGTATGTGTGTCAAACATGGTTTTCTGTTTGTTTTCATACAAACTTTCCTTTTAACATTTCAGCCAGAATTTAGGGTGGTATCATAAATTCAGATTTTCACACACAGTTCTTTTTTGTAAGTTATTAGAACCCACCTCTGCCATTAGGTTGAGCATGTGACTTTCGAGTGCAAAAACAATGACAACACGAGCAGTAGATTTC